TCCCACGAGTCCATGTCGATGCGAAGCCAAAATCAGTTGAGGAATCCCTGGGTGATGTTGATCGGGATGTCCGCGGTGCCGAGGTTCAAGTTGGTGGTGGCGATGGACCGCGCGAACTGATCGATTGTGTTCTTCTGGGACGTGGTGGAAACCTTGATGGAGGACAGCGACTGGGCGACGCTGGTCAGGATGCTGTCGACGTCGGCGATGGCCTCTGCGCCGAGGCCGACGCCGGAGAAGAGGGTATTGATGATGCCGAGGTGGACGCTGGCGCCGTCGCTCTCGGTCTGCAGCGTATTTTGGCCACTCGAGGAGACGGTGAGGACGCCGGGGAGGGCTCGGATGGTGGCGTTGAATGCGTCCGAGGCCTCCTGGGCAAACGCGAGGTTGGCCTGCTCCGGGATGGTGATATTGTACATGGGGCTCTTGTCGACGGCTGCCCAGTAGGCCGCGTATTGGTCCGACAGACCGGCCAGGACCTGGCCGGCGTGGAAGAGGTCGAGGGCGCTGTTGGGGCCAGACGGGTTCCAGGTGGGCTTGGACGGGGGGGCTGGGGCCATGGGGGCGGGCGGGAACCCCGACGGGCTGACGGCGATGTTGGTAGGCGCTGGCACGCGGCCCATGGCGACCTGTTGGGCCGGGGATTTCTGCAGTGCCGATATTGAGGATTGGAACTGATCGATTGCTTCGGACTTTTCCTTGTCGGTCTCTGGCGGAGAATTGCTGTTTGTCGGGGATGAGGGGGTTGAGGTATCCGGCGCCGCAGCATCGGTGGGTGCCGCCACGTCGAGGGATGCCACCGCGCTGAGGAACGTCGCGGCGTTGGATGACACGGCGCCGTGGGAAGCCCACGGGTCGTGGGACTCCCGCCTGCGGGCCTGCTTCTCAAGAGCCGCCATTATTTCTGCGTGCAGCCGGTTGGCACCTTCATGTCCAAAGGAGTTGTGCAGAAAGTCGCGTGGGTGGACCATGGTTGCGGCAAGGTGGATTGTAAGAGGGCAATAGGGGTAGCTTAGAGATCAGCTTGGGGGAGGATCAGTTTGGCGGAAATCGCAGCTAGGAGGACGATGCTTTAAGTCTTCACAGCCCTCAAGGTATCCCAGTTCCAATCAACAAACCTAGATAACACCAGATTCGTACATGCGGATTAACAGGTGACTTCTGATTCAAAATGCAAGCATCTCGGAGCTCCGAGGTTCAATGACACAGCAGCACCACCGCTATCCAGCTTTCAGGTTGGAACGTGGACCAAAACCGCCATCACATTACCATTGCAGGACTGTGCATCGAAAGGCTTCGGATTACTCCCTTTCCGAGTGAAATGTAGACATGGCGGTGTGCTTCAAGCACGCTGAAGCGTAGTGTCAGCTAACTGATGAAAGCACGCACTCCCTTAGCGACACGAGGATTCAGTGCCTCTGGCCGCCCTTCAGCAGCCTCGCGCTGATAAGCCACGGCCCTGCTGAGAGCGCCGCATGGTTTTGCGCAGCCAACCAACAGAGACCTATCCGCTCCAGCCCCTTGACTTGCATCTGGATGTGGGATTAGAGACATTGACAACTACGTGCATGCGCTAGTGTGCTATTGGGTGAGAATCGCCGACATGGCGCCACGCCACGCCACGTTGATGACTTTCTCACACACAAAGCCACCACGGTCTAGACCGCAAAACTCATGTTTGAGCACCCGATCGAAGGTCTAAGCTCAGCCCGGCAAAACTGATGCAACTGAAGCCCGTCGCAGCCACAGCACCGAAACCCGCCGCGAGGACACAGATCCGGCGATTGAGGCTGGCTGAGAATGTGCAGTGCAGTTAGGTCCCTCAGAATACTAACTCACTGTCACATCAGACTCTCTCGTATAGTCTCCCGGGCGCGTAAGTGCAGCTCGACGGAAAGCAAAGGAGGTGGCCGAAACCCTCTCCGAGGGCGCCCATTACCGCCGATTCCGGCTTTCTCAGCCACCCGGGCTATCTCACCAGGCACGCACCAGGGGTGCGTTTGATGATTGACTCGACATAAGTGTTGACATATTCGCTTATTTTGAAGTCCTCACCAGCTCATTCCCTGCGACCCCTTTTTGACCTCAATACCCTTGTTTGTAAACATATTTGCTAGGCACCTATCTCGCCTATGAGGGTCCCACCTTTCTGTGGAAGGGTTGCCATGCGGCTCCGATAATGAATTCTTTTACCCCCAACCAAAGTCGGCGATGACATCATCATCGACCTGGCAGCGGAGCAGGCCGATGTCAGCATTGTGAAAGAAAGCATCAACTACATACCCAAGTTCACTCTCTCCACGACACCGAAGAAGCTGGAAGTCTTCAGATTCAGGGCGAAGATGATCAACCCGGGCATTTTAAGTAGCTCGCATTGGCCGCGAATATTCATTTGTACTTTTTTCTAAACCGCAAAACAGCCGCCACAAACCGAAGACGACGAGATCATCTGCCAGAAGAACTGGTTTTGGCTGGCTTTGGCTGTGGTACGTGCTGGAAGACTTCAAAAAGGACCACACGGACCAATTCGCCCTCTTCGACCCAGGTAACACCTCTGGCAACCTTGGCCCTTTTTTTCTCCTCGTTCCTGGCTGACACGTCCTGTCCAGGAACCGGGGAACGCCAGCTGAACCAAACATTTCCCGACGAGGAGCATGACCCAACCCCAATCCATTTCAATCTTAAAGCGAAATGGTTCCGGATCGAGTGCGCAAACGGCGTGATCTTGAATCCCGTCAATGCTCCGCCTGTGCTCATGAGCACCCCGGATGTGTTGAAGGTCGGCGAAAAGGGCAATTTCGACCTCGGCCACCCAGGTCGACCAGGCCTTGTGAGCCCCAGTGCTAGCACGGGCATCCTCCAGGTAGGTGGGTCAACACCACAACTTCCGCATTCAAGAGGCTAACAGGCCGTCATCAACCCATAGGGCAGGTTCTTTTTCCCGAGCCAGGCAGACTTCGACAGTGCCTCTGGTGCCAAATCATCAGGTTTCCACACATCAAACCACCTCACGCTCGAGGACCTGCACGTAAAGACGAGAGAATGAGTGGAACCAGTTGGAAAAGCAAAGAGGTGGTGGTTGGACCGCAGATTTCTGGGTCGATGACGAGCATCATCGACAGCGCGCTCACTGTTGAACCACTTTAACCGTTTTCAACACTGCGGACAGAGTCATACCTTAAGTCAGATCTTCACCATTGTTTACCGTTTCACAATAACCGCTGTGCAATTTCCCATCGCTCGTGTGACAGTCTTGCAAGACTCACCTCGGGCTTGACTCGGGTCAAGCCCCTTTTCCCCCGTTTTGCCGGCCATCTGAGCTCCTCAATCACAAACACCATTCCTCTCCACGCAAATCCAACGGCCATCTCAATCAACCACCAAAGGCAACTTCTTTGGTCTGGTCGCCCAGAGAACAACAGACGCATCAAAATGACGGACGACCTCGCCCCCCTTTTCACCCCCCGCCCTCCTCAAAACCCTCGTCACCACCATGCTCCCCCTTCCCCTCAACCCACCCCTTTTGACTCCGCCAACATCTCCCCGAACATCATCATGAGCGGCCCGCGGCACTTCCCACCAGGAACCAAACCCCCAAGTTCGGAAAATCCTCATCTCTCATGGCAAACTCTCCCTCTCAACCACCCCTTCCTTCCTATTCTGCCTCCGCTCTCCCGAATCTGAGGACTTTACCAGTTCTCTCCCTTGGTATGCAATTGCTACTAGACCAAATGCCCCGCCGTCTCTTCTGCGGCATCGACAAGCGCTGTTGCGCGGGATATTCTGACCCGCTTGCCGTGCGGTTCGCGGGGGAGTTGGATTCCCTTACTGAGAGTCAAAACCCATGGGTTTGGGGTAGACGGAAGGGGAAAGTCACGTTGGATCATCATATCATTGTGAGGATATGGTTTGGAACGCCGTGGGTGCACTGCGATACGATAGAATCGCAAGAGAGGGCGGGAGTGTACTTTTGGTGAGGTCACAGAGATGGTTGAGGTGGAGACAGGGATGAGGGATTCGTGGATGTAAGAGAACAGGATGAAAGAGGTGATGGGGGATGTGTGCGCGCCGAGGAGGGTTCTGGACAAAGGTCCACCGCACGGAGTAGGGATGGAGGGGTTCGAGTATTGGATGTGTTTGATGATGGATGTGCATAGACCGACTGTGGAGCGGTTTGGGCGGTATTTGAGCAAGAATGTGCATTTGGGGAGCCATGGCGGTCGCGGCCACGCTCTTCTTCAGGGTCGCTTTGTCTTCCCCGGCCCAAAAGCCTCAGCCGACCAATCTCGTGAAGCCTACAGACCCCCCAAATTGCAGATGGGAGGCCGCGATACTACTCACAATCAGTTGTGCCGACCACTCGAATCACCGCTCGTCAGTACACCGACCCTATCGAACGGCCCACCCCAGCTCTCAAGAACCGGGCGCAGCAGCCTTGATGCCAACCCGGTGGAGCCGACCAGCCCCCTATTAAGGTCTGAAACCCTGAGCCCCAGCGGACACTTCCTGTGGAGTTGAATAGTCCCCCTGTTAAATCGCAGCTTTTTGTTGTTCTGGCAACGTCTGGTGGTTTGATAATGGGTTTCAGCGATTAACTGTTTGCCGGGACAGGCGCCTGGGGGACTTCCTGCTAAAGAAAAAGGGGCAAAAACATACAACACCAGGGATTCGCTGGTCGTCACCGACACAACTACTAGTCGGGCCCTCACTGGCTTGTCTATGGGGGAGCGGACGGGATCCAGAATTTTCCAGTGGGTATGGTCGTATGTGGTAGGTTTCATTGTTCGAGATGTTGATATGTTGGTTGGACGCAAGGAGGGTCGATGCATCCACGTTGTCAAGACAAAGAAAGCACAATGTTTTGCCCCAGTTCTTTCCCTCCAGGAAGGCGCTCTTATACTCTTGCAACGTAGGTAGGCGGGTTTTCAGATGCAAACGCAGGGAACGCGGTGGATAGATCCACAACTCAAAGCAGAAAAGGGCAAAAAAAAAGCAAAAAGAGGACGAGACGTGATTTGAACACGTGAACTACCGGACTGCAGCCGGTTGCTCTACCCCTGAGGTACTCGTCCTTTTTTTTTTCTTTGGTGATTGATGTTTGTGGATATGATTTGGTTGCCTATCAGGGGGGTTGTTGGTGATGGGGGTTCGCTTCAGGGGCAATGCTCGGAGCAGAGGGGGTAGGGGCTGATAAGACCGAATTTTTTTTTTTTTTTTTTTTGATTTTTTTGGAGACCTGAGCAAGTTTTGTTTGCGTTTGCTTGTCTGGGAGACCAGATGAGAAGCTCCGTTGGCGGCTTGGTGCGGAACGAAGTGACGTGACTGCTGGGGAAGACAGCTGCGCAACCCCTGAATTGCCAACAACATGAAGAAAGAATTCCAAGCAGTGCATTTGGGATTTGAAACAGCTGGAGCTCGGTTTACAATGCTCATGGTTTCCGCCTGATGGATCGCGAAGAAAAGAACCGTGCAGGTGGTTGGTGGGTGGCGAAGGCCTGACTCGTTCATCGCTCCGAAGGCCCGTCATCTGTTTGAGTTGTTCACCATAGCTCCCAACACTCGCACCCGGCAATGCCCTCAAAATGGGGTCTAGTTGTTTCAGCCACCTGATTCCTTGGCGTGCTCTCCAATGACGACCGAGTCATGCCACCCGAGCGAGATGGCATCAGCACGCCCCTCTGCGGCAAAGACCTAGAGCGGCCCCCATGGCTCGCTTTGTTTCAGCGGTTGTGGAGATTGGAATGAATCGAATGCGAACAAATTTTCGGGTAGGACAATATTTGGACAGGTACCTTCTCTTGGATCTCTTGGATTTCTTTGCTGGGCCATTCGTCCTCCGTTTTTGCAACGCCTTTGGGTTGCATCCCGTTCTTTTCTTGGAGCAGGCACTCCGGCCTTATTTACCACGGCTGGTCCCGATTGCTACCATATTCCCTCGTTTCCTGATCGACACAATACGACGCTCCCATTTTCCCGGTAGGCTTGATCTGTCAGTGCCATGCAGGAGATACCTGAGTTCTCTGCGCTCCCGGCCTTGCGAGACCCGGAGCAGGGGCCCAGGTTACAACCGACCGCAGCCCAAGCACAGCTACATCGACGACATTCCCAACTCGAGCCTTACCTTGGTCTCCCTCCGCCACGGGAAGATGGCGAAGACGGCCAACCTCGACGAAGCTTCCACAGACCGCAAAACTCGACCGGTGGCCTCTCCAATGCCTCGGACGAAACCCGCGTCGGCGACTCGGACGACTACTACCCCGGCATCTTGGAAGAGTTCGAGGAGACCCGCTCCATCACCTCCATCACGGCCCTGACACCAAACCGGGCCAAGTTCGAACACCCAGAAAACTCAACTCGCCAAGCCGAATCCGACGATGACGACACCTCCAAACAACACACCCAAGATGCCCCCTCCCGACTCAAACTCCCCTTCCGCCAACGCCTCCGCCACTTCACCTGGGCCTGGTACACCCTCTCCATGTCCACCGGCGGCCTCGCCCTCCTCATCGTCTCCCAACCGCACACCTTCCCGGGCCTCCGCGGAATCGGCTTCGCCGTCTACATACTCAACATCATCCTCTTCACCCTCATCACTTCCCTCCTCCTCACCCGCTTCTTCCTCTTCCCGGGCACCTTCAAATCCAGCATCACCCACCGCCGCGAAGGCTTCTTCTTCCCCTGCTTTTTTCTGTCTATCGCCACCCTCATCACCGGCGCCCATCGGTATGCCGTCGCCGATAAGAACGACCTTTCAGGGGTGCCGACTACCATACTGTGGGCTATTGAAATGGCATTTTGGGCGTACCTCGTGGTCACTACCCTCGTTGCGATAGGGCAGTACCTCTACGTCTTCTCGGCGCATAAGCTCCCGTTGTCGAGTATGATGCCGACTTGGATCCTGCCCATCTTTCCGATCATGCTTTCTGGTACGATTGCTTCGGTAATCGCCGGTACGCAGCCTTCTGCTCAGGCGGTTTCGATCATTACTGCCGGGCTGACATGCCAGGGTCTTGGTATTGCCGTCGCGACGATGATGTACGCGCACATGGTTGGTCGTCTCTTCTCCTCAGGCCTCCCAAACAGAGAACACCGCCCCGGCCTCTTCATGTGCGTCGGTCCGCCGTCTTTTACAGCGCTGGCGTTCGTTGGACTCGCGAAATCCCTCCCTCCTGATTTTGATTTTGATGGGGACGGATTCCTCGATAATACCGAGATTTCAACAGTGGCCATCATCGGCGCGGGCTTCCTCTGGGCGCTGTCATTCTGGTGGTTTGGCATTGCGGTTGCTGCAGTAGCGATTGCGCCGCCGAGGGATTTTCATCTTGGCTGGTGGGCGAGTGTGTTTCCGAATGTGGGCTTTGTGCTGGCTACGCTGGCGCTGGGGAGGGAGTTTCAGAACGAGGCGGTCTTGTGGTTTGGCACGGCGGTGAGTATCCTGTTGGTGGGGGTTTACTTGTTTGTGGGGGTGAGTTTGGTGAGGGCCGTGTGGAAGGGGGAGATTGTGTATCCGGGGAGGGATGAGGATGTTGAGGATCATTAGGGGGAGGTAGAAATGAAATAGGACACGTTTTAGAGTTGCCAGCGACGTTGGTCTTTACATCTCGAGTGATGCTGCAGTTTTGGGCTTGATGGGAGGTTTTAAAAATGTTGCAACCGCGCACTCGTAGCTTTGTTTCATGCCCGAGTTCGAATGAAATTACACATTGGGAACCCAAAATGGGAGGAGGTAGTTGGGGAGAGGGAGACGACGCTGCACTCATGGCAGTGAACCCTAATCCAATCCCCCTAACATCCTTTCCGCCCCTTCCTTCGTGAGGCGTAGCCCTCTCTACCTCATTGGGCAGCGAAACGCGGCTTCTGCCTGGGCTTCCCCGCAATCTCCTAGAGGGAATTTTCATCGTCTGACTCTCACGGCATGGCCCAACGACCACCGGTCTGAATTAATTTGCAATGGCCGAAATCGTGGCCTTTGGCGCCAGCATCGTGGCCTTCATTCAACTCACCGACCGACTCATCACCGTTTCCAAATTCTACCTCGAGGCCTTGGACGACTGCCCCCACGACATCAAGACCGTCCTCGTCGAGGATACCTCACTCAAAGCTCTCCTTGAGACCCTGCATTACTTGGCCGGTATCGAGCCAGACAATAGCGACACCCCGGGCCTCCTCACGCGTTTGTCGGGCCGAGATGGGCCTATCGAAGGCTGCCGCAAGGCTGTTGGCATGTTGGAAGAGCTCCTTCCTCTGCAGACCCGCCCACCCGCTCAGAAACGGCGAAAGACCGCCGACATGTTGAAGCATCTTGCTTGGCCTCTCCGTCAGTCAAAGGCCACCAAACTGCTTGCGGAAATATCTCGGTATAAAGAAAGCATTGCGCTAGCCATCACCGCCGATTCGTCGTCAGTACCTGTTGAACCACGAATGTTTTTTTCCTTGTCTTTTTTCTTCTCTTTTTTTTCGGCCAGGATAGTTCGTGTACACTAATATTTCCACTGCAGAAAGGATCTTAAGGATGTCAAGGCCAATCTCAGCGCGATTCGACAAACACTCACTGTAAGTATCTTAAATATGCTGGAGAAGTACTGACAGCCCGCTGACAAACGTGAAAGGCAAAGGAGCACCGTGAATTTTGCAGCTGGGTCGAGCATACGAACCCAACTCGCAGACACAACGACTCTTACGAACAACGAGAAGATCACACTGGGGGATGGATGACCCGTTCACCACATTGGAGCGCCTGGATGCAAGGAGCACAACGATTCTTGTGGATCCACGGAATTTCGGGTGCGGGTAAGACGGTGCTCGCTTCATTCCTGGTAGAGGAAGCCAGATGCGCAAGCCGAACAAGCAAAGAACCCGTGGTATACTACTACTGCCACTTCGTGCGCAACCAAGACGAAGCTAAACCATTCCTGAGGTGGCTGATCGGCCAGCTGTGTCGACAGTCAGATACCGTCCCAAGAAAGATCATGAGTCTTTTGAAGATCAACCACGAGCCAAGCGTCACTCAACTTCTTGACGCATTGGAGTCAATCCTGCAGGAGTTCGATCACGTTTACTTTATCATAGATGCTGTGGATGAGAGCTATCCGAGAGACACTCTTCTTCGTGTGATCCGAGACCTGGCGACCGATGAGCGGTATCAGAAAGTACGCCTCTTGGCAACAAGCCGGGAATACGTCGATATTGAATCCATCATTGCTCCTATTTCAGTCGACATCCCGATGGAAAATGACCTCATTGCTGAGGACATCAGGGTATTTACCCACAATGCCCTGAGATTGTACTCGGAATTCGCAGATTGGCCCCAGGATCTCCTGGTGGAGATCGAAGACGCTGTTTCTTCTGGTGCCAAGGGGATGTAAGTGAACGTCACTGACTTTCCATAAGGTAGCTTGGTGTACACGCTGATAGCTTTGCGAGGTTTCGTTGGGCATTCTGCCAAATTGATGCCCTCCGATGGCTGAGACCCAGGCGGCTAAGATGGCTATCCGAAGCCTTCCAAAGACACTGGATGAGACTTATGAGCGAATATTCCAAAGAATTCGAGACGAAGACTACACACTCGTACAAACTGCTCTGGCACTGATCTGCGGCAAGTCGAGAGCTACCGGCACCCCCCTCATAACGACTGTCCTGCTGAGGCTCCTGAATCCGCTGCCAGCCAACCAATGGGGAGAGACAACTTATCAGGGCCTCACCTTATCACACCTACGGCGTGTGTCTGGCTGCCTCCTCACTGTCTCTGTGCATAAAAACGATGAGATGGGAGTAATCGAACTCGCTCACTATATAGTCAAGGAATTTCTTCTCTCCGATCGGATAGCGCAAGGGCCGGCTTCTCAGTTCTCGCTTTCGGAGGTCTACGCAAGGCGAGAGTATTGCAGACGTGTACTCCTCGTTGTTTCTGAACTTCAAAATTGGGAGACGGAGCACGCTCCCTATCTTTGCGGACCAGGCTATTTCTGCGCCAACGAAGTCCTCGGTGGCTTATTAAGAGAATGCGAGGGCGATGCGCTCCAAGATCAGCAACTCAAAGACCTCTATCGTATTGTCTTGGACCCATCTCGGC